TATTTTCGTATGCAACCGGATGTGACGTACTATGATTTGGTGGTATTACACCTAAAGAAGACTTTTTTGTTAAATAAACTGAATGTGACTTTTTTCCTTTGTTATACTGGTTATTTCAAGAATTCCTGTCAAGTTTTGTCATAATCAGTTCAATAGTTTGGGAAAAATCTAGTATAATGTAAGGCGACATCTGCAGCGATTCGAGCTAAATTTCTTCGAAAAATCCAAACCAAGCCGCATCATGATAGAATATAGTGTGGACCAATAAATGATCAAATATTTATCTCATCTGCCTACAAACAGTTGGATATGATACAAAAGATGACTTTAGGATGATAAATACTACCAATGGACCTCTTTGTCTTCCTTATAAGGTCTCTTTTGGTCCATTTATACCTCTCATTTCCTCAAAATTTCTACTTTATAGGCCAATAAATAAAAATTTTGGGGTAACTTTCACTCATTTATGATAGAAATGTTATAATAAATGATAAATTGAAGTATTCAAGCTGAATGAACTATCCGTATAAAAGTTTACTGTCTCCAAGGAGGTTTCAATAAGTCCTTACGTAAAACTTAAATTTACGCCGCGTTCCAGAGAGGGACATAAAAAGCTTCTCTTTTGGTGAATAATTTGTTGTTACTGCTTTAAAAATAATTTCATTTACTTAAAACTATATATTTATTAAAGTATTTCTTAGGAAAAATTTTCTAGTATAGCAGAATATAAGAAAAAAGGAGAAAAAGCTCCCCAAAACTCTAAGTATGGCTTATTCTGTCAACTAATATTCATGGTAAAGTCCTATTTCAAGGAAATTTTCTCATAAAATGTGTTTTGGAGACTCAATCCACTCAGAATATTTCATTATTAGTAATATTTCACTTAAATAGCAAGAAATTTTAACACATGAGAGTACTCACAAGGTCAAATGTGCATGTACAGCTTCCCATATTAGGTGTAATACCACCATTGATTTTCCCCTATTAGTCTTTGTTAAATTTGCACTTTTCAAAAAATTGTGCAGAATTTATCTTTGTTTCAAATAAAGAAATACTTGGCATGAGTAAAGTTTGATCCTGTCCAGTACTATAGAAAAACTTTCACATAACATTTCATTGCATATAAGAAAATAACCATCACTGGAAGTTAACCAATCAAATTTTCCCCCTTTTTTAACCTGTATACAAGCTTTAGTAACCATGTAACCTCAAGTTTCCAAAATATTTCATAGAAACCCCAAATAAAAAAATAATGGTGCTTTGAAATACCCAAGATATATGTTTATGACCCAGAAATGTTTTACTGCAATGAAATGTAGGATCAATTACCTACAACTGTCAAATTCAAGGGAATATTTTTTTTCGACCTATTTTCGTATGCAACCGGATGTGACGTACTATGATTTGGTGGTATTACACCTAAAGAAGACTTTTTTGTTAAATAAACTGAATGTGACTTTTTTCCTTTGTTATACTGGTTATTTCAAGAATTCCTGTCAAGTTTTGTCATAATCAGTTCAATAGTTTGGGAAAAATCTAGTATAATGTAAGGCGACATCTGCAGCGATTCGAGCTAAATTTCTTCGAAAAATCCAAACCAAGCCGCATCATGATAGAATATAGTGTGGACCAATAAATGATCAAATATTTATCTCATCTGCCTACAAACAGTTGGATATGATACAAAAGATGACTTTAGGATGATAAATACTACCAATGGACCTCTTTGTCTTCCTTATAAGGTCTCTTTTGGTCCATTTATACCTCTCATTTCCTCAAAATTTCTACTTTATAGGCCAATAAATAAAAATTTTGGGGTAACTTTCACTCATTTATGATAGAAATGTTATAATAAATGATAAATTGAAGTATTCAAGCTGAATGAACTATCCGTATAAAAGTTTACTGTCTCCAAGGAGGTTTCAATAAGTCCTTACGTAAAACTTAAATTTACGCCGCGTTCCAGAGAGGGACATAAAAAGCTTCTCTTTTGGTGAATAATTTGTTGTTACTGCTTTAAAAATAATTTCATTTACTTAAAACTATATATTTATTAAAGTATTTCTTAGGAAAAATTTTCTAGTATAGCAGAATATAAGAAAAAAGGAGAAAAAGCTCCCCAAAACTCTAAGTATGGCTTATTCTGTCAACTAATATTCATGGTAAAGTCCTATTTCAAGGAAATTTTCTCATAAAATGTGTTTTGGAGACTCAATCCACTCAGAATATTTCATTATTAGTAATATTTCACTTAAATAGCAAGAAATTTTAACACATGAGAGTACTCACAAGGTCAAATGTGCATGTACAGCTTCCCATATTAGGTGTAATACCACCATTGATTTTCCCCTATTAGTCTTTGTTAAATTTGCACTTTTCAAAAAATTGTGCAGAATTTATCTTTGTTTCAAATAAAGAAATACTTGGCATGAGTAAAGTTTGATCCTGTCCAGTACTATAGAAAAACTTTCACATAACATTTCATTGCATATAAGAAAATAACCATCACTGGAAGTTAACCAATCAAATTTTCCCCCTTTTTTAACCTGTATACAAGCTTTAGTAACCATGTAACCTCAAGTTTCCAAAATATTTCATAGAAACCCCAAATAAAAAAATAATGGTGCTTTGAAATACCCAAGATATATGTTTATGACCCAGAAATGTTTTACTGCAATGAAATGTAGGATCAATTACCTACAACTGTCAAATTCAAGGGAATATTTTTTTTCGACCTATTTTCGTATGCAACCGGATGTGACGTACTATGATTTGGTGGTATTACACCTAAAGAAGACTTTTTTGTTAAATAAACTGAATGTGACTTTTTTCCTTTGTTATACTGGTTATTTCAAGAATTCCTGTCAAGTTTTGTCATAATCAGTTCAATAGTTTGGGAAAAATCTAGTATAATGTAAGGCGACATCTGCAGCGATTCGAGCTAAATTTCTTCGAAAAATCCAAACCAAGCCGCATCATGATAGAATATAGTGTGGACCAATAAATGATCAAATATTTATCTCATCTGCCTACAAACAGTTGGATATGATACAAAAGATGACTTTAGGATGATAAATACTACCAATGGACCTCTTTGTCTTCCTTATAAGGTCTCTTTTGGTCCATTTATACCTCTCATTTCCTCAAAATTTCTACTTTATAGGCCAATAAATAAAAATTTTGGGGTAACTTTCACTCATTTATGATAGAAATGTTATAATAAATGATAAATTGAAGTATTCAAGCTGAATGAACTATCCGTATAAAAGTTTACTGTCTCCAAGGAGGTTTCAATAAGTCCTTACGTAAAACTTAAATTTACGCCGCGTTCCAGAGAGGGACATAAAAAGCTTCTCTTTTGGTGAATAATTTGTTGTTACTGCTTTAAAAATAATTTCATTTACTTAAAACTATATATTTATTAAAGTATTTCTTAGGAAAAATTTTCTAGTATAGCAGAATATAAGAAAAAAGGAGAAAAAGCTCCCCAAAACTCTAAGTATGGCTTATTCTGTCAACTAATATTCATGGTAAAGTCCTATTTCAAGGAAATTTTCTCATAAAATGTGTTTTGGAGACTCAATCCACTCAGAATATTTCATTATTAGTAATATTTCACTTAAATAGCAAGAAATTTTAACACATGAGAGTACTCACAAGGTCAAATGTGCATGTACAGCTTCCCATATTAGGTGTAATACCACCATTGATTTTCCCCTATTAGTCTTTGTTAAATTTGCACTTTTCAAAAAATTGTGCAGAATTTATCTTTGTTTCAAATAAAGAAATACTTGGCATGAGTAAAGTTTGATCCTGTCCAGTACTATAGAAAAACTTTCACATAACATTTCATTGCATATAAGAAAATAACCATCACTGGAAGTTAACCAATCAAATTTTCCCCCTTTTTTAACCTGTATACAAGCTTTAGTAACCATGTAACCTCAAGTTTCCAAAATATTTCATAGAAACCCCAAATAAAAAAATAATGGTGCTTTGAAATACCCAAGATATATGTTTATGACCCAGAAATGTTTTACTGCAATGAAATGTAGGATCAATTACCTACAACTGTCAAATTCAAGGGAATATTTTTTTTCGACCTATTTTCGTATGCAACCGGATGTGACGTACTATGATTTGGTGGTATTACACATTAAGCGTCTTCTACTATGCACATTGCAGCACTCGTTAAGCGTCTTCTACTATGCACATTGCAGCATTCGTTAAGCGTCTTCTACTATGCACATTGCAGCACTCGTTAAGCGCGCTAAACGTCTTCTACTATGCACATAACAGCACTCGTTAAGCATCTTCTACTATGTACATTGCAGCACTCGCTAAGCGCGCTATATACGCGTCTTCTACTATGCACATTGCTGCACTCGTTAAGCGTCTTCTACTATGCACATTGCAGCACTCGTTAAGCGAAAACAAACCTTTTGAGACACAGAAAATCTTTATTACCCTGCTGAAGAAGTTTTGAGTCAGGAGCATACCCCTGTTAATGAAGTCTGTATGATATAACATGCACGTACGTACCGTTTCAATTGAGATATGTGGGCACCATTCGATTGGATAGCAGTTATGTTACGGTTGAGAAATAGACAGTTGACAATAGGAAGGCTGAACGTGTGTTATAGGTCCTAGTGAAAAAGATAAAATCAGAGGTCAGTCTGGTATGGTTGCCAATGAGACAACTATCCACAAGAGTTCAAAAGACGTGGATATAAGCTATTATAGGTGACCGTACGACTTCGACCATCGATTGTTTTAAAAGTTCACTGTGATATATCAATTATAGGTGACCGTACGACTTCGACCATCGATTGTTTTAAAAGTTCACTGTGATATATCAATTATAGGTGACCGTACGACTTCGACCATCGATTGTTTTAAAAGTTCACTGTGATATATCAATTATAGGTGACCGTAAGACTTCAACCATCGATTGTGTTAAAAGTTCACTGTGATATATCAATTATAGGTAGCCGTACGACTTCGACCATCGATTGTTTTAAAAGTTCACTGTGATATATCAATTATAGGTGACCGTATGACTTCGACCATCGATTGTTTTCAAAGTTCACTGTGGTATATCAATTATAGGTGACCGTACGACTTCGACCATCGATTGTTTTAAAAGTTCAACGTGATATATCAATTATAGGTGACCGTACGACTTCGACCATCGATTGTTTTAAAAGTTCACTGTGATATATCAATTATAGGTGACCGTACGACTTCGACCATTGATTGTTTTAAAAGTTCACTGTGATATATCAATTATAGGTGACCGTACGACTTCGACCATCGATTGTTTTAAAAGTTCACTGTGATATATCAGAGACGAGCATGCATTGAAATGTGGGTTATTAAGTGAGAGTACATGGAACACTATATCTTGAAGCGAAATATAAGAACTTTGAAATATGCTTCATCTTTTTGTCTTTGAAAGGGTGTTTGGACAATTTTTGCTTTAAACGAGTTTAAAATCAATTCGATCAGTAACAGTTCACAATTAAGGCCCAGTAACATATCAAAGATTGATTGCAAGATGCTTTTATCAAAGAGAGGCGAAAGATACCAAAGGGACATTCAAACTCACAAATCGAAAATAAACTGACAACGCCATGGCTAAAGAAGAAAACGACAAACAGACAAACAACAGTACACAAAACACAACATAGAAAACTAAAAACTGAGCAACACGAACCCCACCAAAAACTGGGGAGGGGGGGGGTGATCTCAGCAAATATATGTTGTCGGTCAAAAAGTCAAGCCATTTGATAATATCTTTTTGTCATATTTGTTGTGGGATCAGTAGAGTTCTTCACAATCAGATCAGATTTTTTTAAAATAAAACAAACGATTTTTATCTAGGATTCCCACGTTTGTTGGAAAATCAATGTTTAATGAGATATGTAACCGATATTTTAATTGAGAATGGGAAATAGTAAAGTTGAGCCAATAAAGATCAGGAGTCGGTTTCACAAAATAACTTAGAACTAAGATTGATCGTAAGTATACTGAATTGTTTAGGTCTTAATCATGTTTTTTTTCTTCAAAAACTGTAATGATTTCGATTGAAGAATTTTTAGTAGATTTTTAGGAATCAACCACTAGTGAACACCGCAGGTTGAGTATATCTAAACACAATATTTTGAAGGCCCTTTTTGCTGTTGACAAAACGGTAGCAAGAATTTTAGAAAAAGATATATATAAGATCACACATGTAGACAAGCATGCTATTTTCATATAGTTCTTCATAAGAATTTTTATGAAGAGGAACATTAAAAAACAAGTAATATCTTCTAGATTATGGTTGTTCTTAGAACAGATGTTTGCAACCTAGTAAATATGATGAAGTCCCTTACTCTGAAAGATATGCAAAATTCACTCATCCTATAAATACTCTCGCATAATATGAGTATATAGTGTTTTATTAGTCCGTCCGTCCGTCCGTTAGATTGAAGTTTCCAGACGATTATTTGAGAATCGCTCCATGAAATGACTTGAAATTTTCATCTAAAATGTATAACAAAAATACTGAACTCCAAGGCACATTCAAAAGGGGAAGTCCATAAAAAATGACAAAATCATACGCTATCAATCAACGGAACAGGTGAAAAACAACTGCTAAATAAAGGTTTACTTCGATTAAATTCATTTTTATTTAGTTGTTAAATTCAAAAAAAGAAACCCTCTTCCATTTCTTTTTATATTTGATCTAAGAAATGTAAAAGTTGAAAATGACGCCAAGTGGATTACCAAGCAATTATATCTCAAAAGAAGACAGTTGAAAATGACGCCAAGTGGATTACAAAGCAAATATATCTCAAAAGGAGACAGTGGAAAATGACGCCAAGTGGATTACCAAGCAAATATATCTCAAAAGAAGACAGTTGAAAATGACGCCAAGTGGATTACCAAGCAATTATATCTCAAAAGAAGACAGTTGAAAATGACGCCAAGTGGATTACCAAGCAAATATATCTCAAAAGAAGACAGTTGAAAATGACGCCAAGTGGATTACCAAGCAATTATATCTCAAAAGAAGACAGTTGAAAATGACGCCAAGTGGATTACCAAGCAATTATATCTCAAAAGAAGACAGTTGAAAATGACGCCAAGTGGATTACCAAGCAATTATATCTCAAAAGAAGACAGTTGAAAATGACGCCAAGTGGATTACCAAGCAAATATATCTCAAAAGAAGACAGTTCAAAATGACGCCAAGTGGATTACCAAGCAAATATATCTCAAAAGAAGACAGTTGAAAATGACGCCAAGTGGATAACCAAGCAATTATATCTCAAAAGAAGACAGTTGCCAAGTGGATTACCAAGCAATTATATCTCAAAAGAAGACAGTTGAAAATGACGCCAAGTGGATTACCAAGCAAATATATCTCAAAAGAAGACAGTTGAAAATGACGCCAAGTGGATTACCAAGCAAATATATCTCAAAAGAAGACAGTTGAAAATGACGCCAAGTGGATTACCAAGCAAATATATCTCAAAAGAAGACAGTTGAAAATGACGCCAAGTGGATTACCAAGCAAATATATCTCAAAAGAAGACAGTTGAAAATGACGCCAAGTGGATTACCAAGCAAATATATCTCAAAAGAAGACAGTTGAAAATGACGCTAAGTGGATTACCAAGCAAATATATCTCAAAAGAAGACAGTTGAAAATGACGCCAAGTGGATTACCAAGCAATTATATCTCAAAAGAAGACAGTTGAAAATGACGCCAAGTGGATTACCAAGCAAATATATCTCAAAAGAAGACAGTTGAAAATGACGTCAAGTGGATTACCAAGCAAATATATCTCAAAAGAAGACAAACAACATCATTACTTTCAAATTCTTTATAAAAATGATATTGAAACTAAAGCAAATATTGTAATTTATATTGTAGCTAGAAAACTTCATGTTGTCATTATTAACCAAACATAGCAATGACGTGATATTTCGTGCAGTTCGATTTCTTGTCATGTCACTACTGCATTCTGAGGTTTGTTAAGGTGGTACCAAATACCTTGACTAAAATTATTTTGGTTCGTTTAATTTTTATAAAATTTTGACAAAATATTTACTTTGACCCTTTAACAAAAATATAAAAATTTCAAAAAAGTTGAATCACACACTTTATCGGAAAAATTTCATCGGATAAATAGCAGTTTGACCAACACTTATTTTGATCATTGAGAAGCTTAATATTTCCTTAACAATAGAACGTGATTAAAACGTTCAGCTGATTTTTAAAGAATTATCTCCTTGTAGTGTTATGTACCACCTTAAGGTGTGATATTTACATTACATGTATGTTTCATTAGAATCTGTAATTTTGATTGGCTGACAACAATCACGTGGTATTTTTGACTTCTTTTAAACTGAGTTTTACTGTGCGTATTGCTATGTGTTTCTTTATTCTACATTGGCTAGAGGTATAACGTGAGGGTACCCAAATTGCACCTATTTTGACAGTTTTTTCACCTATTTTTTGTAACGATCCAGACAAAAGTTACCATTCTGTGTTCATTTTTTAGATGTATCCTTTTTTACTGTATAGTTACACCAATTTAATTTTGAATCCATAGTGAATCATAGAAAATGGGTTTGAACCGACCTCCAAACGATCCATGATTCTGTAATGAGGAGTACCCAAATTGCAACCATGCTTTAATTCACATCCTTAAAAATTGAATAACAGTTGTTTTGTTTTATTTCTTCAAATATTTAGAACAATTTGACATTAGTCCATGCTTAGTATTCATTTTTTAAGAAATATATCTTGTAACATATTTTATTTGCTCATTTTTAAAAGATGACTTTTTGTGAACGTGGCATGGCGACGTTCAGTAGATTTTACTTTTTCCAGTGTGCTTCATCTGTTGAAATATAGACTGTGAACGTTTTTTGTATATTTGAATATAGTTACCTATGTTAAAAGACGTCTATAATGTCAAATCATAAAAATACAAATTATTTAATCTCAAAGAAAACTTGTAAGATTTTCGCAGCTATTTTTGTTGAATAGGTGCAATTTGGGTACTGTGACGTTAGGGGGAGGGTTGAGATCTCACAAAACATGTTTAACCCCGCCGCATTTTTGCGCCTGTCCCAAGTCAGGAGCCTCTGGCTTTTGTTAGTCTTGTATGTTTTTTTAATTTTAGTTCATTTATATGTTTTGGAGTTTAGTGCGACGTCCATTTTCACTGAACTAGTACACAATTTTATTTAGGGGACAGCAGAGGACCACCTCTGGGTGCGGGATTTTCTCGCTGCGTTGAAGTCCCATTGGTGGCCTTCGGCTGTTGTCTGCTCTTTTGTCGGGTTATTGTCTCTTCGACATATTCCCCATTTCCATTCTCAATTTTATTTATATCTGCATAAAAGACAATCTCTATGACTGCACGTGCTATCCGTGAAAGGTTAAAACATTGCATGGAAAAACAAACGAAAAGCCTTATTTCATGGTTGTAGCATAAAAATTTAATCGTAAGGATTCAATGCTTGTTTTCAAAATTTTATGGGGTGGAAAAAGCGTTGGTCGTGCACAAAATTAAGTAAAAAGCGCTCTCGCGCTTCTTACAAAATTTGCTTCGGTCAAAGCTTTTATACCCTTTCTTAAATATCTTTAATTGTGGCCATATTTAACTGCAGTATGAAAACAATATTGGATCAATGTCAGAAACATATAAACCTGTTTGTATTGGCACGAAACAGTTGAAAGTCTCGGTAAACCTAGCCCTTCCCGAGTTTCTAAAAGTAGATATTTTTCTATTATTGGGATTATATATATCAATATTGTATAAACAGATTAAGTTTGAATAAAATAAATTGCTACAAACATTTGCTCTCATCATATAATAAAATAATTATACAAATATATTTAAAAATGTAATTTGAATGGCCGAGATATAATATCAAACATCTTTTCATGGCATGGTAGTTTAATTCATTTACAAGTATTCTTCACACATAGTTTGGTCAATTAATACATGTAACAAAATATGACCGTACAATACCTGTCACAAAGTCTGTACAAACAGGGAAAGAATCAGAACATTGAAATGTTTGATGTATAATTACGTTCATTTGCACAAAAGGAACATATTTAGTTAAGACTAATTTTAAATGGGTGAAGAAAAAACCAAGGGAGCGATCGAATATCGCAAGTCCAATGAAAACATATAACGCATGGTAAAAAATTGAAAAGCATAAGGACTAACAACCTTAACAAAACATTACATAGAAACTATTATATAAAGAGACTGAGAAACATGACCAACACTGGGTTAGTTATATACTGCTTCATGTTTTTGTTATGTACAAGTTGTGTATACCGTGTATCAAAATGCTAATAATTTTTTGTAAGCCCGATTTTGATTATTGTCAGTTAATGCCAAGGCACATACATATTAAGACTTTTATGTTAAGTATCATTTAAAATTTTCAAAAGGGAACATATGTACACTTTAATTGATAGATATGGTACCATATCATGAAACTTCATAAATCAGGCCGTTCAAAATCCGTTGGTATATGTTAAGGTAAATATTTATTTTTTTTATAAAAAATAGATAAAATTGTTTATCCCGAGAGAGAAAAACCATGCCCCTTTAAAGGGGGAGTGGTCGGTGCCTGATTAGTTTCCCACTATAATTAACCACATTTTTGTTTAGGGGCCAGCTGAAACCCGTCTCCGGGAGCGGGATTTTCTCGCTGTGTTGAAGACCAATTGGTGGCCTTGGGCTGTTTTATGCTCTTTTGTCGGGTTGTTGTCTCTTTGACACGTTCCCCATTTCCATTCTCAATTTTATAATAACTATTAGGTTACGCTGTAAATATGCATAAACGAAAATGATAATGCATGATAATACGATATATAACATTTCCTTCACCTAGGAGGACCATTCACCTAGGAGGATAGGTTTTTTTCTACAATAAATTGTTTGATTCCATTATTTTTAATTGGATCTGAAGGCAAAAAAGTGTTTTTCCATTGCAAATTTAGGGAAAAATTTATAAAATGTCACATAAAATGTAGCTTTAAAAAGCTTTAGACATGGTCTAGAGTACATAATTATGTATGTTACAGGCGTTTTCTAAATTTAGGCATTTTGTAAAATTTCTGAATTTTTCAGGCAATTTATAAAATGCCTTACCTTTACAGGTATTATATAAAACGACTAAAACTACCTATTAATTTTGTAAAACTACTGAAATTTGAAACAAAATTCAGCAAATTGCCTGTTCAGTTTCAGGTAATTTGTTAAAAAAAAAGGATAATTATCATTGAGATACATATGACTAAACCACAATGTCTTATAAGGAAAATAACCAATAGTACGGTAAAATTGAGTTTTTTCTTCAAAAACCAGCCGAGAAAGTTTGTTTCTATTGAAACTACGTTAGGTATGTACTTACTCTGTATTTCAGATAGTAATTGTATGACCCTCTTGTCTTAATGGCAGAATGACAAATTATTATTATAATAGAAGAAAGTTTGCAAACACATTTTCAGAAAATCTAGATTCAAAACAATAGTGTGTAATATAAAGCAGAGAAAAAAAAGCATATTTTTTATGGACTGATTGTTGTTTGTTTGCATTCAGTAGCAAATATTTCATGGATATTTAAGACGAGAACAAATTGATAATAAATCAAAGAGGTAAATTCTGCAATGGATTGACCCAGATAAAGGACATGAATTTTGACTGCCGCTTAAAATGAAAGTATTTGGAAAGTGACAGAAAGGTTGCCTGTGTGACTTTGAATCTGTTGTGAACACACGAAAAATACGATATTCATGTGTGTGGTTTTTGCGAAACCCAATGATGATCGAATGTTAAAAGAGAGGCAATAGATACTAAAGGGACATTCAAAGTCATAAGTCATAAACAAACTGACAACGCCGTGGCAAAAAAAGATCAAAAGACAAACAAGTTTTTTAAGTGTTTTATGACAAAAAGTATTGACAAAGCTGAATGTGTAATGGTTCGGGTTTCATATTTGGTGAGATTGTAGTGATAAGACCATATTTTAAGCTAAACGATTTATTTGCAAATAAATAAGGACAAATGTGTTACAGATCCTACCGTCCAAACATTATATGGAAAAAACAAATAATTGTCAAATTCGGTGCGAGTGGAAAGTTTAAATAATTCAGTAGACTTTACTTTTACTTAATTAAAACTCTTAATATGCAAGCTTTAAAACTCCATTATTATCATAGATAAAACTGATCTGTTGTTCGATAATTTCATTTGCTCATTTTTTGTGAATATTTCATTAAAATAATTTCAGGCAATGTGCAAAATGCCTTTTAATTTTTTCAGGCATTTCTTATACTGCCTGAACAAATTAGTCAATATATAACATAGATATAAGAAGATGTGGTATGAGTGCCAATGAGACAACTCTCCATCCAAGTCAGAATTTATAAAAGTAAACCATTATAGGCCTGAATATTACGGGCAATTCCAGAAAATGCCTAAAGTTTTCGGGCATTTTACAAAATGCTTATATTTAGAAAATGCCTGTAACATATACATAACTCTATGGTCACAATAACGAAGATGACAAAAACCCATGTACTCCACAAAATTTGCCGGATCAGTAAAGAAAACATTCTTTAGTGAAAGAGACTTCATAAATATCATTTGTATTTTTTTCAAGTCTTCAAGCAAATTTAAGCAAACATGTCAATAATAATAACTATTAGACATTCATTATATTACAGAATTTTAATAATTAAACTAATACAATTGAAATTGTGTTTATAAATAGTCAAACATGTATATAAGGTAAACATTGAGAGAAAAGAAAACTAACTTTCGAAGAAAGGTTAATTATTATTTTTATTATAATTATAATTGTCAGACCTTCAGAGCTGTATACATATTTAGCAGAAATCAATCTCTCCACTCTCTGAATAAGGCCCATTTCAGAACAAAATTCTCTTGAAAAATCAAATTTTGAGATATAAGAATATCAATTCTGTTCATATCAGTTCAGGAATAAAATTTTGATGTTGTGACAGTATTCCATCCCTGAATATAATAATCAATTTCAATATGAATGATATATAATAAATATGTAAACAGTCAAAGCAAGTACAAGTAACTTCGACAGTTTATGTATTGTGGCTGAACAAATGGTTGGTGGTTCAATACATATTTCGGGGGTGACCGAACTTCCAGGATCCATAATGAATTCTGATACAACATTCATCCAAAAGGTTCTCTGGCGCCTAGCAATCGTTGCTCTGTAAATGAATAACATATAAAATATCAAATACTTCCATATCATCTTTAATATTAAATTTCTTTAATAATATTGTCTGTAATGCAGTTTTGATTTTGTCGCCATTTTATCCTGGAGGTCCTGGTTTTGTACTTTTTTAGTGCAGAACTGTTATGCACTGTTTACAGTGCACTAGTAAAGAAACGGGATTGGTAAAATCTCGAATTGACTTTGTTTATATCTTAATCTATAAATGCTGCAAAACCTTAGGAGTTGATAGCAGGTAGCTATTACATATCAAGACTATTTAGAGTTTGACATATATTAAACATGTTTAAGACATGTATATTTATGTTTAAGACATGTATATTTATGTTTAAGACATGTATATTTATCTTTAAGACATGTATATTTATCTTCAATGGGAAAAACTCATCAATGATACCTGCATTTTTTCATGATCTTGTCTAAACTATAACCTGGATTTTTTCTTGTCTAAACTATAACCTGGATTTTTTCATGATCTTGTCTAAACTATAACCTGGATTTTTTCATGATCTTGTCTAAACTATAACCTGGATTTTTTCATGATCTTGTCTAAACTATAACCTGGATTTTTTCATGATCTTGTCTAAACTATAACCTGGATTTTTTCATGATCTTGTCTAAACTATAACCTGGATTTTTTCATGATCTTGTCTAAACTATAACCTGGATCATGATCTTGTCTAAACTATAACCTGGATTTTTTCTTGTCTAAACTATAACCTGGATTTTTTCATGATCTTGTCTAAACTATAACCTGGATTTTTTCTTGTCTAAACTATAACCTGGATTTTTTCATGATCTTGTCTAAACTATAACCTGGATTTTTTCTTGTCTAAACTATAACCTGGATTTTTTCTTGTCTAAACTATAACCTGGATTTTTTCATGATCTTGTCTAAACTATAACCTGGATTTTTTCTTGTCTAAACTATAACCTGGATTTTTTCTTGTCTAAACTATAACCTGGATTTTTTCATGATCTTGTCTAAACTATAACCTGGATTTTTTCTTGTCTAAACTATAACCTGGATTTTTTCTTGTCTAAACTATAACCTGGATTTTTTCATGATCTTGTCTAAACTATAACCTGGATTTTTTCATGATCTTGTCTAAACTATAACCTGGATTTTTTCTTGTCTAAACTATAACCTGGATTTTTTCATGATCTTGTCTAAACTATAACCTGGATTTTTTCTTGTCTAAACTATAACCTGGATTTTTTCTTGTCTAAACTATAACCTGGATTTTTTCTTGTCTAAACTATAACCTGGATTTTTTCATGATCTTGTCTAAACTATAACCTGGATTTTTTCTTGTCTAAACTATAACCTGGATTTTTTCTTGTCTAAACTATAACCTGGATTTTTTCATGATCTTGTCTAAACTATAACCTGGATTTTTTCTTGTCTAAACTATAACCTGGATTTTTTCATGATCTTGTCTAAACTATAACCTGGATTTTTTCTTGTCTAAACTATAACCTGGATTTTTTCTTGTCTAAACTATAACCTGGATTTTTTCTTGTCTAAACTATAACCTGGATTTTTTCATGATCTTGTCTAAACTATAACCTGGATTTTTTCTTGTCTAAACTATAACCTGGATTTTTTCATGATCTTGTCTAAACTATAACCTGGATTTTTTCTTGTCTAAACTATAACCTGGATTTTTTCATGATCTTGTCTAAACTATAACCTGGATTTTTTCTTGTCTAAACTATAACCTGGATTTTTTCATGATCTTGTCTAAACTATAACCTGGATTTTTTCATGATCTTGTCTAAACTATAACCTGGATTTTTTCATGATCTTGTCTAAACTATAACCTGGATTTTTTCTTGTCTAAACTATAACCTGGATTTTTTCTTGTCTAAACTATAACCTGGATTTTTTCATGATCTTGTCTAAACTATAACCTGGATTTTTTCATGATCTTGTCTAAACTATAACCTGGATTTTTTCTTGTCTAAACTATAACCTGGATTTTTTCTTGTCTAAACTATAACCTGGATTTTTTCATGATCTTGTCTAAACTATAACCTGGATTTTTTCATGATCTTGTCTAAACTATAACCTGGATTTTTTCATGATCTTGTCTAAACTATAACCTGGATTTTTTCATGATCTTGTCTAAACTATAACCTGGATTTTTTCTTGTCTAAACTATAACCTGGATTTTTTCTTGTCTAAACTATAACCTGGATTTTTTCATGATCTTGTCTAAACTATAACCTGGATTTTTTCATGATCTTGTCTAAACTATAACCTGGATTTTTTCATGATCTTGTCTAAACTATAACCTGGATTTTTTCTTGTCTAAACTATAACCTGGATTTTTTCTTGTCTAAACTATAACCTGGATTTTTTCATGATCTTGTCTAAACTATAACCTGGATTTTTTCATGATCTTGTCTAAACTATAACCTGGATTTTTTCTTGTCTAAACTATAACCTGGATTTTTTCTTGTCTAAACTATAACTTGGTTTTTTTTATGATCTTAACCTGGATTTTTTCATGATCTTGTCTAAACTATAACCTGGATTTTTTCATGATCTTGTCTAAACTATAACCTAAGTCCGGACAATACAGATCACATGCACTGTGTTGTACTAAGGGTGACAACTCTGAAAAGCAGATATTCATTTGTAGGTTTTTCTAACAGACGAGAAAGAAAGACAATCTAACATAACGTGAAAAATACTTTTCAGTCACATTTGAGCAACATAACTGACATTCATTGTTTGCTATAAGGTTCATTCGTTGGAGCGTGGCACTTATGGGCATAAAATTCGTTCTTGCCAAAAATTTTACCTTATTGAGCGAAAGTCGTCGATGTTTGATAAATTTCACTGCTTATACGTTTAACAATCACAATTGATTATTACATGTTTAAAGTGCTCTTTTCTAAAACATTGGATAGTTGTGTATTTGTCGTTTTGTTACCATAAAGCTTATTAAGGATATTAACGTTTATATTTCCATTTGCAAAATGGTCAAGTCCGCAGTCTGTAGAATAATTTCGATGTTTTCTATATATTTCCATTCATTACATTTTGAAATTATTATTTCATTTAGGATAATTTTAGACAATCGATTTTCAGACAGGTTACAATACTTTCATTCAATCTCCGTTTTTATTTTACAGAAATTGTTCTACCTTATTAAATGCTATGCATTATCTTTGAATTTAATTTTACATTTAATTTATCTAACGCTGCAAAAACAACGTTTATCTTTGCAACATCCAAAATCTAATTATCTATCAAAACTGCAAATTAATGGTTTAATAGACGATTTACTAACTTCTCCATGGTAGAACATTACGTTGTCATGACATCATCAAACTTTAGTTTCACTTTTTATTTGCTCTAGGGCTTCTCTTGAATATGAATTTGCTTGTATATAAAGTCCCTACAACTACGCAGAAATCATGTTTAATATAATTAAAATCACCACTGGTGTGATGTAAATAAAGCAGCATTAGCAACACATACTTTAGTTACATATTTCAATATTTATGTAGTATGCAGAAAAACCCATACCTAATAAACAGTGGACCTTCTGTCACTGGGGGCGCTTTCCAATAAAATGTCCTGTTATAGATATGCGCATGTGCCATGTGGCCAACTGTATCCTGTAAAAGAAGGATGTGTCGTAGGTCATAAAAAAAGTACAATTATATTAGATGGTGTGGTGTCAACGTTTTTTTCTTTTTGCAAATATAGTCTTATTTCAAATTGCATTTATACTCAATTTGGAATCCTAATCCTCTCTTTACCACACATATGGTGTTGGTCTAGCAGACGAAAACTCAAAATATAGTTAAAATTCGGTGTATTGTAATAGACAATAGTTTAACATGGTTATTGCCACAGGATGTAGTTGTATTAGAGATAATTGTAACAGAATGTAGTTATATTAGGGGTAATGCCACAGAATGTAGTTATATTATTGGTTAATGCCACAGAATATAGTTATTGTAGGGGTAATGCCACAGGATGTAGTTACATTAAAGAGAATTGTGACAGCATGTAGTTATATTAGGGGTAATGCCACAGGATGTAGTTATGTTAAAGGGAACGTGACAGAAAGTAGTTATATTAGGGGTCATGCCACAGGATGTAGTGATATCATGGGGTAATGCCACAAATTGTAGTTATTTTTAGGGAATCACTGAAGCATGAGTGGAGCGAGCCCCCTCTTAGGCAGTCAGTGGGCCCCCTTATGAAAATTTCTGGATCCGCCACTGTATGGCGTAATGCCACAGAATGTAGTTGTTTAAGAGAGAATTGTGACAGACTGTAGTTATATCAGGGGTAATGCCACAGGATGTAGTTATATTTGGGGTAATGTCAAAGGATGTAGTTATATTATGGGAATGCCACAGGATGTAGTTATATTAGGGTTAATGCCACAGAATCTAGTTATTGTAGGGTTAATGCCACATGATGTAGTAACATTAGAGAGAATTGTGACAGAATGTAGTTATATTAGGGGTCATGCCACAGGATGTAGTGATATTATGGGGTAATGCCACAAAATGTAGTTATTCTAGGGGTAATGCCACAGAACGTATTTAAATCAGGGGTAATGTCACAGAATGTTGTTGTATAAGAGATAATTGTGACAGAATGTAGTTATATTAGGGATAATGCCAAAGGGTGTAGTTATATTAGGTGTAATGCCACAGGATGTAGTTATATTATGGGTAAATTCCACAGAATCTACTTATTGTAGGGGTAATGCCACAGGATGTAGTTACATTAGAGAGAATTGTGACAGAATGTAGTTATGTTAGGGGTCATGCCACAGGATGTTGTGATATTACGGAGTGATGCCACAAAATGTAGTTATTTTAGGGGAAATGCCACAGAACGTAGTTATATTAGGGGTAATGCCACAGGATGAAGTTGTATTAGAGAGAATTGTGACAGAATCTTGTTATATTAGGGATTATGCCAAAAGATATAGATATATTAGGGGTATTGCCAAATGATGTAGTTATATATTAGGGGTAAAACCACAGGATGTAGTTATATTAGTGGTAATGCCACATAATGTAGTTATATTAGGTGTATTGTTATAGACAATAGTTAAAACATGGTTATTGCCACAGGATGTAGTAATATAAGGTTTAATGCCACTAAATGTAGTTATATTAGAAATATTTTATAGATAATAGTTAAAACATGGTAATTACCACAGGGTGTAGTTGTATTAGAGAGAATTGTGACAGAATCTTGTTATATTAGGGATTATGCCAAAAGATATAGATATATTAGGGGTATTGCCAAATGATGTAGTTATATATTAGGGGTAAAACCACAGGATGTAGTTATATTAGTGGTAATGCCACATAATGTAGTTATATTAGGTGTATTGTTATAGACAATAGTTAAAACATGGTTATTGCCACAGGATGTAGTAATATAAGGTTTAATGCCACTAAATGTAGTTATATTAGAAATATTTTATAGACAATAGTTAAAACATGGTAATTACCACAGGGTGTAGTTGTATAAGAGAGAATTGTAACAGTTATATAAGGGGTAATGCTACAGGATGTAGTTATATTAGGGGTAATGCTACAGGATGTAGTTATATTAGGGGTAATGCTACAGGCTGAAGTTATATTAGGGGTAATGCCACAGGATGTAGTTATATTAGGGGTAATGCCACAGGATGTAGTTATATTAGGGGTAATGCTACAGGATGTAGTTATATTAGGGGTAATGCTACAGGATGTAGTTATATTAGGGGTAATGCTACAGGATGTAGTTATATTAGGGGTAATGCTACAGGATGTAGTTATATTAGGGGTAATGCTACAGGCTGAAGTTATATTAGGGGTAATGCTACAGGATGTAGTTATATTAGGGGTAATGCTACAGGATGTAGTTATATTAGGGGTAATGCTACAGGCTGAAGTTATATTAGGGGTAATGCCACAGGATGTAGTTATATTAGGGGTAATGCTACACAATGTAGTTATATTAGGGGTAATGCTACAGGATGTAGTTATATTAGGGGTAATGCTACAGGATGTAGTTATATTAGGGGTAATGCCACAGGATGTAGTTATATTAGGGGTAATGCTACAGGATGTAGTTATATAAGGGGTAATGCTACAGGATGTAGTTATATTAGGGGTAATGCTACAGGATGTAGTTATATTAGGGGTAATGCTACAGGATGTAGTTATATTAGGGGTAATGCTACACAATGTAGTTATATTAGGGGTAATGCCACAGAATGTAGTTATATTAGGGTTAATGCCACAGGATGTAGTTATATTAGGGGTAATGCTACAGAATGTAGTTATATTAGGGATAATGCTACAGGATGTAGTTATATTAGGGGTAATGCTACAGGATGTAGTTATATTAGGGATAATGCTACAGGCTGAAGTTATATTAGGGGTAATGCTACAGGATGTAGTTATATTAGGGGTAATGCTACAGGCTGAAGTTATATAAAGGTTTATGCCACAGGATGTAGTTATATTAGGGGTAATGCTACAGGATGTAGTTATATTAGGGGTAATGCTACAGGCTGAAGTTATATTAGGGGTAATGCTACAGGATGTAGTTATATTAGGGGTAATGCTACAGGCTGAAGTTATATTAGGGGTAATGCCACAGGATGTAGTTATATTAGGGGTAATGCTACAGGATGTAGTTATATTAGGGGTAATGCTACAGGCTGAAGTTATATTAGGGGTAATGCCACAGGATGTAGTTATATTAGGGGTAATGCTACAGGATGTAGTTATATTAGGGGTAATGCTACACAATGTAGTTATATTAGGGGTAATGCTACAGGATGTAGTTATATTAGGGGTAATGCTACAGGATGTAGTTATATTAGGGGTAATGCCACAGGATGTAGTTATATTAGGGGTAATGCTACAGGATGTAGTTATATAAGGGGTAATGCTACAGGATGTAGTTATATTAGGGGTAATGCTACAGGATGTAGTTATATTAGGGGTAATGCTACACAATGTAGTTATATTAGGGGTAATGCCACAGAATGTAGTTATATTAGGGTTAATGCCACAGGATGTAGTTATATTAGGGGTAATGCTACAGAATGTAGTTATATTAGGGATAATGCTACAGGATGTAGTTATATTAGGGGTAATGCTACAGGATGTAGTTATATTAGGGATAATGCTACAGGATGTAGTTATATTAGGGGTAATGCTACAGGATGTAGTTATATTAGGGGTAATGCTACAGAATGTAGTTATTTTAGGGGTAATGCTACAGGATGTAGTTATATTAGGGGTAATGCTACAGAATGTAGTTATTTTAGGGGTAATGCTACAGGATGTAGTTATATTAGGGGTAATGCTACAGGATGTAGTTATATTAGGGGTAATGCTACAGAATGTAGTTATTTTAGGGGTAATGCTACACAATGTAGTTATATTAGGGGTAATGCTACAGGATGTAGTTATATTAGGGGTAATGCCACAGAATGTAGTTATATTAGGGTTAATGCCACAGGATGTAGTTATATTAGGGGTAATGCTACAGGATGTAGTTATATTAGGGGTAATGCTACAGAATGTAGTTATATTAGGGGTAATGCCACAGAATGTAGTTATATTAGGGTTAATGCCACAGGATGTAGTTATATTAGGGGTAATGCTACAGGATGTAGTTATATTAGGGATAATGCTACAGGATGTAGTTATATTAGGGGTAATGCTACAGGATGTAGTTATATTAGGGATAATGCTACAGGATGTAGTTATATTAGGGGTAATGCTACAGGATGTAGTTATATTAGGGGTAATGCTACAGGATGTAGTTATATTAGGGGTAATGCTACAGGATGTAGTTATATTAGGGATAATGCTACAGGATGCAGTTATATTAGGGGTAATGCTACAGGATGTAGTTATATTAGGGGTAATGCTACAGGATGTAGTTATATGAGGGCTTATACAACATGATGTAGTTATATTAGGGGTAATGCCACAGAATGTAGTTATATTAGGGGTAATGCTACAGGCTGAAGTTATATTAGGGGTAATGCCACAGGTTGAAGTCATATTAGGGATAATGCTACAGGATGCAGTTATATTAGGGGTAATGCCACAGAATGTAGTTATATTAGGGGTAATGCTACAGGATGTAGTTATATTAGGGATAATGCTACAGGATGTAGTTATAATATGGGGTAATGCTACAGGATGCAGTTATATTAGGGATAATGCTACAGGATGTAGTTATATTAGGGGTAATGCTACAGGATGTAGTTATAATATGGGGTAATGCTACAGGATGTAGTTATATTAGGGGTAATGCTACAGAATGTAGTTATAATATGGGGTAATGCTACAGGATGTAGTTATATTAGGGGTAATGCTACAGGATGTAGTTATATTAGGGATAATGCTACAGGATGTAGTTATAATATGGGGTAATGCCACAGAATGTAGTTATATTAGGGGTAATGCCACAGAATGTAGTTATATTAGGGGTAATGCTACAGAATGTAGTTATAATATGGGGTAATGCTACAGGATGCAGTTATATTAGGGGTAATGCTACAGGATGTAGTTATATTAGGGGTAATGCTACAGGATGTAGTTATATTAGGGGTAATGCCACAGAATGTAGTTATATTAGGGGTAATGCTACAATATGTAGTTATATTAGGGGTAATGCTACAGAATGTAGTTATATTAGGGGTAATGCTACAGAATGTAGTTATAATATGGGGTAATGCTACAGGATGCAGTTATATTAGGGGTAATGCTACAGGATGTAGTTATATTAGGGGTAATGCTACAGAATGTAGTTATAATATGGGGTAATGCTACAGGATGCAGTTATATTAGGGGTAATGCTACAGGATGTAGTTATATTAGGGATAATGCTACAGGATGTAGTTATATTAGGGGTAATGCCACAGAATGTAGTTATATTAGGGGTAATGCTACAATATGTAGTTATATTAGGGGTAATGCTACAGAATGTAGTTATATTAGGGGTAATGCTACAGAATGTAGTTATATTAGGGGTAATGCTACAGGATGTAGTTATATTAGGGGTAATGCTACAGAATGTAGTTATATTAGGGGTAATGCTACAGGATGTAGTTATATTAGGGGTAATGCTACAGGATGTAGTTATATTAGGGGTAATGCTACAGGATGTAGTTATATTAGGGATAATGCTACAGGATGTAGTTATATGAGGGCTTATACAACATGATGTAGTTATATTAGGGGTAATGCCACAGAATGTAGTTATATTAGGGGTAATGCCACAGAATGTAGTTATATTAGGGGTAATGCTACAGGATGTAGTTATATTAGGGGTAATGCTACAGGATGTAGTTATATTAGGGGTAATGCTACAGGATGTAGTTATATTAGGGGTAATGCTACAGGATGTAGTTATATTAGGGATAATGCTACAGGATGTAGTTATATTAGGGGTAATGCTACAGGATGTAGTTATATTAGGGGTAATGCTACAGAATGTAGTTATATTAGGGATAATGCTACAGGATGTAGTTATAGTATGGGGTAATGCTACAGGATGCAGTTATATTAGGGGTAATGCTACAGGATGTTGTTATATAAGGGGTAATGCTACAGGATGTAGTTATATTAGGGGTAATGCCACATAATGTAGTTATATAAGGGGTAATGCTACAGGCTGAAGTTATATTAGGGGTAATGCCACAGGTTGAAGTCATATTAGGGATAATGCCACAGGATGTAGTTATATTAGGGGTAATGCCACAGGATGTAGTTATATTAGGGCTAATGCCACAGGATGTAGTTATATTAGGGGTAATGCAACAGGATGTTGTTATATTAGGGTTAATGCCACAGGATGTAGTTATATTAGGGCTTATGCCACAGGATGTAGTAGGCCAAAATTGCTCTGATGTCTGATGGATTTTTGGCCTTTTAGTCGCAGTAGGAAGATGTGTCGCAGGATGAAGTTGTTATGGGTTTTTCCGCCATCGTTGTAATTTTAAAAGAGGGGTTTTACAAAAGCTTGTAGACCCTGAGATGGTTTGCAACAGGCTGTTGTTGTAATTGGTGGTATGTTACAAGTTTTGATGTCTACTGATGAATATTTTGTTCTTTTGAATTGTTTTGTTCTAGCAAAGACCTCAGCATTCGTTTGATAAATTTAAAGTAATTATGGCATGACAAGTGGTTCAGTGTTCACTAGATACCTATCATTCAAATGTTAGGTTCCAGCACAAAGTTTTGTTTGCCACGTTAAACATTATCAGACGAAATGACCCAAATTAATAGTGTTATTTTAATTAAGAACAATTCTTGACGTAAAATAATGTACTTCACTTACATCCAGATTAGTACAAGAGATCGTTGTTAGAAAATCTTCTCCAATATCAAGCATAAAGTTGCCAACTGCCACATCTGTGTACTTATGGTCACAGTTACCACGGCGAACTTGTAAAAGCATTCCCTCGTAAAAAGTGTAGCCATGGTCACCATTGGCATATACAAATACTATAAAAAAAAAAACTTTTTTTTAAAATTCTATTTGGTTTGTTATCAATTCGTTTCTTATTTTTCACTTCGGTAGAAAATACTTAAAGACCAATAAAAAATCATAGGTCAAAGTAGATGGATACAACTAATAAGCATTCTGAAGGTATGGCATACATATGCTGTACAATATCAATTTAGGTGAGAAAAACTAGAACAAAATCCAAACTTAATCTATTACTTTTAATGATTTGATATATAAGCAATTGATTAAGACATAGCAGAACAAATTGAGGAAAGCAAATATTGTCAAGCAACTATATCCAAGGAATGCAACAATCATTCAACCGAAACGAAACCCATACTTAAACTGTTACTTCTCATGACGAGATTGCTGCGATTAATTGTTTTAGTATGAACTGTTTCACATTTTGTCCTGCATTTTATAGTTTACTATACAGTAAATATTTAGCACTTTGCTTAAGGCCGTACGGTGACCTATAGCTACTTACAACAATGACATTTAGTCTCTGGGTGATAATTGTCTCATTGGCAATCAAGCCACATCTTCTTATCATACAATGTGGTAGTTTTGTGAAAACTCAACACTACCCCTTTTTGTCTGAATCGGTGGACGAACAAACTAAAAAACGTGCAATAAAATCTTACCAGATTCGGAACATCAGTATTAAAGAATACCGATATTCTCCTACATAAATATAAAAATATTCAAATATTTCAGTAAATTCAATGATGTTCAAAATACTTGACGATAATTTTAAATCAAATTCACATTGTAATGACACCTAAAGACTGGTGTATTAAAATATGTTCATCTGGAACTCTCCCACTAAAACACATGCTGACAGTGGGGGAAGTCTGGAACTCTCCCATCCAGCACTAAAACACATGCTGACAGTGGGGGAAGTCTGAAACTCTCCCCTCTAAAACACATGCTGACAGTGGGGGAAGTCTGGAACTCTCCCACTAAAACACATGCTGACAGTGGGGGAAGTCTGGAACTCTCCCACTAAAACACATGCTGACAGTGGGGGAAGTCTGGAACTACTTTCATCCAGCACTAAAACACATGCTGACAGTGGGGAAGTCTGGAACTCTCCCATGCAGCACTAAAACACATGCTGACAGTGGGGGAAATCTGGAACTCTCCGACTAAAACACATGCTGACAGTGGGGGAAGTCTGGAACTCGCCCATCCAGCACTTAAACACATGCTGACAGTGGGGGAAGTCTGGAACTCTCCCATGCAGCACTAAAACACATGCTGACAGTGGGGGAAGTCTGGAACTCTCCCATCCAGCACTAAAACACATGCTGACAGTGGAGGAAGTCTGGAACTCTCCCATCCAGAACTAAAACACATGCTGACAGTGGGGGGAGTCTGGAACTCTCCCATCCAGCACTAAAACACATGCCGACAGTGGGGGAAGTCTGGAACTCTCCCATCTAAAACACATGCTGACAGTGGGGGAAGTGTGGAACTCTCCCATCCAGCACTAAAACACATGCTGACAGTGGGGAAAGTCTGGAACTCTCCTATCCAGCACTAAAACACATGCTGACAGTGGGGGAAGTCCGTTTGCCAGCCCGAGATGTATAAATACGCGCCAGATCCCTATGAGGAAGTTATAAAAAGCTTGGTCTAAGGATATTGTGAGGATCCCTATGAGGAAGTTATTAAAAGCCTGGCGTAAGGATATTATGAGGATCACAATGAGGAAGTTATTTAAAGCCTTTTGTAAGGATATTATGAGGATCCCTATGAGGAATTTATTAATAGCCTTTTGTAAGGATTTTGCCTCTTTTTCTGAACTTTAAAGAAAAATGGCAACATCTTGATCTTTTTAAAGAGGTCATGTCAGAAAGTACTGAGCTTTGAATGGAAAGTAAAAAACATCATTAAATTTGTGTTAAAAGTACGTAGATGTAAGCTTCTATTCGTCATCATTCAACCTTCAACAATGAACAAACCCCATATGTTCATCTGGAATTCTCCAGTCTAACACTAAAACAAATGCTGAAAGTGGGAGATGTCCGTTTCCAGCGCGAAATGTATAAAAACGCGTCCGATCCCTATGAGAAAGTTACTTAAAATAATAATTTTAAATCCTGGTGAAAGGCGGGGGGGACTATTTCTGAACGTTAAAGAAACATTTTAACAACTTGATCTTTAAATGATGATCAATATATCAGACATTCATAAATTTACTTTTATAAATTGGTCAATATTCGGTTAATAGACCTTAAGATTGCTGTTAGATGTTGAAATTTACTAAATATACTAATCGTTGAGAACGCCGCTGCAATTTTTAGGGAGTTGCGCACAACAATTATAATTATCTTTTGAATTTGAAGTTTTGCTTTTTACTATCTATACCAATATACATGTATGTATGATCTAGTAAATAAATATTCCTCTGAAACGGTCATTTAGATCTTAAGAACTGATTTTCCGAACATAAAATGTTAAAGCTATATTCTAAGGTTTTTTTTTATCCCGGCGAATCGAGTATCGTCAGATATTTCGCTTGTAGAAAATCAAGTCCTTTCTGTTAATTTATAATTTTCATTGCAATTGTATTGCTCATGTTAATGTCAGCAGCTGAACAGATATAGACGGAACAGCTAGTGAATATTCTATTGCTACACATTTTATTGTTACAAACCGTTCGTTGAAGAAGACTTTTTGTTTGTTTTCTGTTTTCCCTTTTGATTATTCTAACAAATAAAATGTATACACGTATCATCAAAACAGTTTGGTAATTTACCGACATATACATATGAAAACTGCAATAAGAGTAAACATAGCTGACATATTTATTTCCCATTCTTAGCAGATCCGTTCAGTTCGGAATTGTCGTTTAGTACAAAACCGATGTACTTATGATATGATAGCTGTTAACATAATATACATATTATTTGAACTCACTGACATTATGTACTATTCCCTTTGATATATACATTCTTTAGGGTTTTAAAAACTTTCTGATCACGACCCTGTATATGATTTCTATAGAGAAGAAGTGTCTTAGTATTTACAAATGATTGTAACTTCATCTTTTTTACTTGGATTTAATAAATTTGTTAATTTATTTCATACATCAACAACGGAATTTAGTGAAATCTTTTTCGGCGTAAAATTTATGTTAATTTTATATTCTACAGATGAGAGGTAATATCATTTCTTTCAAAGATAACTAACTAATGCATATACAAATACAGTAATTTAGTTTTGAAAATGCGTGCGTTAATTTAAAGACAAAAGTGTTGTGTTATATTTATATTTCTCTGATTAATTGCTGGGACTATTATACTTATATAATAGTCCCAGTTAATTGTGAACTTTGATTTATCAATGCATCGTTGAACATGCTACCATGCATTGTTATTTAAACTCACTTCTAATACTTTCTAGTTAAGAAAAGGCTTTAATTTTGAAAAGACATCAGAACAATAGTTTAAGTTAGAGAAACAATGGATAAGCGTTGGTTTATCATGAAAACAAACCATTCGCCCTCCAAGCTCATGGTTTCTTTTTCAAGAGCCAACGCGAATCCATTGTATCTATAATACATATTACCTTCAATGACCGAATTAGCTGTGTAGGTCGTGCTGTTGATCGATATTTTGTAAGGAGATGATACTGTTTGTGAATAGGCCTTATTTCCTTCTGAATCTAAATGTCCTACTGGATTCATGTCTACGCATGCTTGACCTGGTACGTATAACCCATGGCTACTGACGGAAGCCACCAAAAGGCAAATTATCAACAGGCTCACTGTCATACTAAAAAGAAAAGGCATAATATAGTAAACGACTATCGAGAATGAATGATCTGAAGTGGACATCGATTGTTCGTCTACATTGTTAAATGTATTAAGTAAATATCAAATTATTCACGTGAACTTTCAGGGGCGGATGCAGCCATTTTTAAAAGGGGGAGGAGGGTTGGGGGGTTGGGGGGGGGGGGGGTTGGGGGTTTCCAACCCAGGATAAAGGAGGTTTCAACCATATGTCCCCATTCAAAAGCATTGATCGTCAACAAAAAAGAGGGGTTCTAACCCACAGAACCCCAGCCCCCCCCCTTTCTGGATCCGCCACTGCCTTTTGTCTAAGTAGATTAAACGACTATCGAGAATGAATGATCTAAAGTGAACATCGATTGTTCGTCTACATTGTTAAATGTATTGAATATCAAATTATTCACATAAACTTTCAGGGGCGGATCCAGCCATTTTTAAAAAGGGGGCAGGGGGTTCCAACCCAGGATAAAGGAGGTTCCAACCCTATGTCCCGATTCAAAAGCATTGATCGTCAACAAAAAAGAGGTGTTCCAACCCCGGAACCCCCCCCCCCCCCCCCTCCCCCTGGATCCGCCACTGTCTTTTGCTAAAGTAGATACAATCATAATGCTCGATATGCTCTGTAGATAGCATTGTTCATTAAGAAGCAATGTACTCTATTGCTTTTATACGTTTTCAATAGCTGTTTTAGTAAGTGATGCTGCTTTAAGCTTTTATCATAGACTTGGGTAAGCAGGGGTGAGGGTAGGGGGAGTAAATGTTTGGACAACAGAATTCGTTCACAAAACAACTTGTTTGAAAAACACTTTCATTAGAAAATGTCTTCTGCTTGAAGCATGAAAGTTGACAAAGATATCCAATTACATCTTATCAAGGGAAATTGTTAAGATTTAGTCGTTATAAATACAAGCACTTCGAATAGGATCTAAATGTTTATTGTTTGTTTTTTTTTTATTAATCAAGATGAAACTAAATGCTTCTACTCTAATGAAGAACGTATATTTGACAGTTTGATTTGTACAGTTATTCTCACGCTTTACTGTTCCATATCTAAATATGGTGACAGGTTATTTTTGGTGGGGTTCTTGTTGCTCAGTCTCTAGTTTTCTATGCTCTGTTTTGTATACTGTTGTCTTTTGGTCTTTTTCGTTTTTCTCCATGACCATGGCGTTGTCATTGACATATGGTTCAGGTATTTCACATCCCATTTTTTATTGTAATATTCTATACAAAGCACAAAAATGTAGTCATTCACCTCAAAAGCTAACCAAACCTTCAAACAGACTTATTCAGAGGGGATAAAGTTATGATACGGTGGTCAAGTCTTTAAAGATGGCATTTTTTTTAATTGATATTGACTCACTCATACGGTCTTTGCATCGGAAATAATCACATTTATGCTAAAACCAGTTGTTATCATGATACGGGTTATGTTCTCGTAATGATATTAAACCACTAACGGAAGGGATTGTGCTTGACTTTTATATGATGAAGACATAATCTTTCAATCAGTTTAATTGAGATCTGGAGCTGGCATGTCAGTAACTGCTAGTAGTCCTTTGTTAATTTATGTTGATCATTGTCATTTTGCTTAGTTTCTTCTGTTACCTATTCTATCATTGGACTCGGACTTCTTTTAAACTGAGTTTTACTGTGCATATTGCTGTGTGTTTGTTTATTCCACATTGGCTCGAGATATAAGAAATCTTAAGTAAAGCGCTTTTGGCGTTTCAATCTCGATTGAGATGAGAAATCTTAAGTAAAGCGCTATTGGCGTTTCAATTTCGATTCGGATGATAAATCTTAAGTAAAAGGCTTTTGGCGTTTCAATCTCGATTGGGATGAGAATCTTTAGTAGAAGGCTTTTGGCGTCTTAACCTCAGTTGGGATGAGAAATCTTAAGTAAAAGGCTTTAGCGTCTCAGTCTCGATTGGGATGAGAAAATTTAAGTAACAGACTTTTAGCGTATCAATCTCGATTGGGATGAGAAATCTTTAGTCAAAGGCTTTTGACGTTTCAATCTCGAAGACGTAGTTGTTATCTTTCTTGTATCATGAATCAAATGTCTTTTAGAAATCTTGCAAAAAGAGTAGAATTAAACGAGAAAAAAATACATATTTTGAAAGCAGTAAGAATTGGTAGAATTGGTAGAATAACAAATTGGGTCTCCAAAAAATGTACAGATGGATACTGCAGTATCCTGTTGAGATTATAATCGACAAAATAAACGTGGCGGTTTTGACTTGTTTTTAATAAAAATAACAAGATGTATACATCAGTTGTTCTTAACACAAAGTGCACATCTTAATAAAATGTTATCTTGACGTTTAAATTATTTCATATTTATGTTAAAATAACAATTTCTTTCATAATTGAATAGTCTATAGAGCATGACAAGTTATACATTTATCGAGTCAATCTATCCAACTTCCTTTTTATTATACAACTTACCCAAATATGAAAATTTTGAAGAAAACCGTGATGAGTTGAAAAAAAACCCAGAGATTTAAATTGCATTTAAACAAGAAAAGAAACACTTATGCATCTCGGTATTATAATGAGTTCGCAAAGAATATGTAAATCATTTTCTTAGTCGACACACATTCCTTCTACTTTTTTACCGGAATGATATAGAATGGAATTCATAACAGCTTGAATATGCGTACTCCAATATGATAAGATAAGATAATGATTATAAGTGTCACATATTGATCGTACAAGTAACTATACAAGTTCAGTACACAAAACAGTTAAAACAAAGATCAATACCCAACCTATATAGACTTACGAGATACTAAATTTACAATAAAACACACTAAAATATATAATTTATAAATTATTTACAAGCACATATTTAATAACGACATAAAAAAAATCCACATTTGACACAAGTAAAAACCTTTATGAAAATGGTAATGTTGTGATAATATAGTAAATACCATTGTCATTATCTTTTAAAAATAAAATCAAAGTATTTAAAATTGGGTATTAAATGGAGACTATCACATTAACCTTTATGTAAATTACAAAAATATACAAAGAAAGAAAAAATAATACTGATGATAAATAAATAGTTTGCAAATCATAATTCCATAAAAACTTTTCCTAAGAAAAAATCTATTCAATGTATGAGCTAAAAAAGTGTGTATGTATTTACAGTTCATAAGCGCAATAAATCTATTCTCTGTGTTAATACTGACAAAGTCATCAATGAGTTCTAGTGATTTTTGAAAAAAGTTCGTATCTGATGGCTGTATATAAAGGACAAACCATTAAAAATGTATTTCGTTTTCTACAGAGTTCGTATTACAAAATTTGCAAAGTCTATCATTTAATGGTATCTGCGGTCTGGAATATCGTCACGTCTCAACAGCTAGCGGTAGTGCGACGCTTCAAATGATGCCATTGTACGTCTGACAGTTTGTGGAAGTTGGCATGTAATGTAGTTTTCGGTTTCTATCGTCGTCTTATATAAGCGGTACGTTCTTTTAAAATTTATTGCCATTCACTTTGTTTTTATCATTGTTCAAATCTTGCAGAAATTGGTTTTGATCTAAATTAAGCAACTTGTCGTTGATAATGCGTGTTGTTGTTTTCACTCTCAAACCAACGTTATTGACCGTATCAGAAACGTCTAGTTCGTTTATACATTTGTTTACTTGTGAGTGCCAGCCTTTTCTACGACGCGATGCCCAATTTGCAACTTTTGAAATCAGCCTATCATCATCTGCTCGGACTAATTTGCATTTTAATCGTATGCATGACAATTTTTGCTTAGTATGACAAGATGTTAGTCCTAGGTCACCACGCACAGACGTATTAGAAGTTCTTTTTCCCACTACAAGGAAATATTTGGATGCTTAAGTCTAAACATTATTTATCACATTGTAAGATTTTGTTCCTCAAATACCACTGCCATAATATAAAATCGGTTCCACCATCGATGTGTATTTTTATGGTAAACATTCCAAGTCATACCTCCCGCCGAAACGAATTTGCCAAATAGGTCACCAAGAGCTCTACTAGCCGATTTCGCAAGCTCCTTTACAGCTTTATTCAAAGCTAAGTGTTCATCGAACCAAAGTTCCAAATATTTATACGAATCTGCATAGTCAAGGTCGTGATTTCCACAGGAGAACGGAAAATCGTATGTTGTTGATTAACCTTGATTGTGTTTGTCATTGACGATCGGTGACCATGATTTAACTTAATTAGAGTCTGTCAGGGCCCTTTCGGTGGTACCGTCTACACATTTTCATTCATAGAATAAAAGATTTTTGCATAAAGTTTATGTTTTATATATACTATATAAGACGCAATTCTGTTTACAATAGTTATTTGAAAAAAATAACTTTCTCCAACAAAAAGATAATTTCATGAATAATTTGTTATTTTCAAGAACATGACAAGTGTTTTATAATTATTTAATATCAACTTAGGTGACTTATAGGTCCATTCGGCCGTGTGTATTCATATTTATCAAATATTATATGTTTATAATCTGATAAATGTGCATATTTACACATGTCACTATAACAAATAATTTACTTACTATACTTTGATCACATCAAATAATTTCATTCGAAAGAATAATAAAAATTATTTACATCTTCATTTTTTTCTGTGCACAAAACTTAATTTTGTGGCTCATTTATGATAAAACCTACGAGAAAAATATTTGTAAGGTATAAAAATTTGAGATTAACCTACATCATGATACAAAAGTTATCATAAAACATGTGTGAATAAAAGTATGTAGTGAAAATACACAAAACACATAGAAATAAAATAAAATATGAGCAATATAGCATATTATTACAGTATAAAATGTGTAGGTCGATTTTTTTTTATAGAAGATATAAAATATATTTAAAAGAAATAATAGAATATGAAATATAGTTTAATATTTTGTAGTAGTTCTCCTCATGATTAGTGCATAGCAGTCAAGAACTTTACGTCACCACAATGCAGAGGTCATCAAAT